TTTATGATGATGATGAGTTTGCTTCTCCTATAAAACCCGTTACTAAGTTGACAGTCTCCCAGAGTCAAGCTCATGTTCGGGGGGAGGGGTGTCGGGAGTTGGGATGTCTGACACAAGTGATGATCCCCGTGTTGAGGAGGAGGAGTTTGATGCAGCTACTGCTGGTGTACCGGATCTGCCTGAGATGCGTCCTAGATCATTTCGTGGCCAGCAGCAGTAGTTTGAGCAGTCTGTCACGCATCAGCATGACCAGTTGGATGCTCAGATGGATACCCTTGATAGTCGCCTTGATGAGCAGAGCACTATGCTTGCACAAATTCTTTCATAACTTCAGATGCAGCAGCCCCCTTCTTCAGCCTAGTCTTTGACTCCTATTTGCCTCATGGTTTCTAGACAGTTTTTTTTTCTCTTTTCTTGGACAGTTTTTTTTGGTTTGTCTATCTTTGTTTCTTTTGTCACTCCCGGCCAAAAAAGGGGAGTATTTTGTTTTTGGGGGGGTATATATATGGATGTATATGGATATATGTTGCACACTCATGATGGTTTTTGCAGGAAGCATTGGAATAGCATTGGAGTAGCGTTGGACTAATGTTTTGCATGGGACATTCATTTGTTTTCTAATTTATTATGTCTTGATGGTCTTGATGGTTTCTTATATCTCTGTTTTTAGTTTTAGAGGTTTCTACTCAAGATTGGTTTGTTTGTTCAAGATTGTTTTGAGATAGTTGTTTTCCATTGAGTTGGCTTGTTTTGTTAGTCTTTTTGTTTTCTAGGAAATTAAGTTAGAAAGTTTTGTCCGGGTATTGACAAAGGGGGAGATTGTTAGGGCCCTTAGTCTTGTCAATCCCGCGAACAAACTTGTGTGATTGATTTGTAAATTTCCATGCTATTTTGTCTTGCTCGCTCGAGTGAAGGAGTCCTCGCTCGAGCGAAGACTGCGTCTGGCAAAAACCTGAGAGAGGTGAATGTGCACTCGAGCGCAGATTGCGTGGCTTGAGCGAAGCCACTTATGGAAATCACGCGAGATGAGTTCCTCGCTCGAGCGAGAGAAGCTTCGCTCGAGCGAGCTGTGCTGTTCCAGATTTCTATAAGTATTTGTTTTAATCCCAAACTAGGATTAGGTTTTTAAGATCTACTTTGAGGTTGTTTAAGGTTTTCTTCTGGAGTATTTTTGTGAGTTTTCCTTGATAATTTGAGTGAGTATTAAACTCATGAATTGATAAGCACATATCAAGGAGGTTGATTAATTATATACAAGAGTGTTCTTCTTCGGTGGAATCCAGAGATTCAAACGTGGAGTTTCAAAGGAGTTTGATTCTGTTCGTAGTCGTTAATTCGATAAGTGAAGTTGTGGATTTAACTTCAGAATAATCAATTCCGAAACGAAGGCTTGTTGAAAGAGTTACAGAAGGTTCGAAGACAAATTGTATGAGTTTGGTAATTTGTTTGTTATCTTTGTAATCTTTCTTTCTTCAGTAGTGGATTGATTAGTGGTGTTTCGCCCGTGGTTTTTTATTACAATTGAAGGTGCTTCAATTGTGGTTTTTCCACGTAAAAATTGTTTGTGTCAATTTATTGTTTATTTCGAAAACAACAATCTAAATCACTTTCGTAAGTGCTTGATGATTTAGATTGTGTATTTTGATTGATTGGAAATTAGAATATTTAAATCTTGATCTAATCACGAATCACTTAGGATTTTAAAGTACAAATAAGTTAATGCCTTACTGGCTACATCTTTCCAAGTCAATACTTGGGAACAACAAAATGAGTTGAACTCCATACATATAAAACCCAAGGTTTCTACAACAAATATTTACATAAAAGAGACAAAAAAAAGCCCTCGGCTCCAAGGTCCTCTGAAGCTATGTCCTTGGTGGAGGCATATCATCAGCACCTGCAAGTTATTTTCCACATAAGGTAAGCTAAAACCTGGTATAGATACTTGAATACAATGTGTTAAGCTTAACAAAATCATATAGTGAATGCATATGCATGCTATTTGCCAAAAACTTTACACATTCTCTTTCAAAGCAATGCAATGCCATAGTTATATATATAAATCAATACTTTTTAAATCAGAAAATAGGGCAGTGGATACAAAATACTGGAAATCTCTAGGTACGTGTTTGCCAGAAAGCTACACAAGCACTACCAAAGCCATTTTATCGGCACTAACTAGAAGGATCGGCATCTAACCACGCGGTTTCTAGACTTTCACCAATGACACACAGACTAACATAATAAAACCACAACCACACCCCCTAATCAGATTTACCAAGGTATACACCTTTTTTTTCTCAAAACGATACATTTTCAGTATTTAAGTATGAAACAACACTCAATTCATGATGTATGAGTAGTTGGTTTCAATTAATCTAATCCACATGTAATTTCTGCAACAATCAAAGTTATCCTCCACCGATAGCCCAAAACAGATATCTCTATACAACTGATAAATTTCCAACAACAATATATAAGTTTAAAATCTCAAAATAGGAGTAATAATGCATATCCAACTCCACTCTCATCATCAACAGATACATTCATTTTATCTTTTCAAAACTCAACATCTTTCCCTTTTCTTCATAGGTCAATCACTAATGATTTCCAACAAAATCTCATTTTCTTTTCAAAAACACATTCAAATGAGAAATTTCCAATATTTCAACACAACTCAACCATAATTTCATTCCCACAACATTCTTCATGAATTTATTTGAAAACCCCTCTTTTACATGTCAAAAACCAAACCCTAAATCAAAATGCCAACTCCAAATCACAATACTCTACAAGGAACACATAACGAAGCTAAGAATCATAAGAAAATGTTGAAGAAATCCCTACCTCAAGACTAGAAATGTTGACAAACAAGACACAAGATTTGACGAAGCCGAAACTCAAACTTTCTCCGATCAAAACGACCACCTATATGTGCTCTACACTTTCTCCAAAGCATTAGGGCGACGAGATCAACGGATTTGGGTGTATTTGAGGTGTTAAGACAAGAACTAGAGAGAGAGAGAGAGAGAGAGAGAGAGGCAATAAATTAGGTTTTGGGGTGTTTTAGAGAGAGAGAAAAGTAAAAAGTGACACAAAAAGACCTTTCCTCAATCTGATATACTCATAGACTGCTTAAGTGACCAAACCACTAATCGAGCATCAGACACAAGTAAGTGACACCGCTCGAGTGACAAAAATACGGCTTGAGCATACAATGACCCCCTCCTAGAAGTTTTGTAGACTGCAAAGACCACTTGAGTGAAGAAAAGACCGCTCGAGCGAAGATCACCCTACTCCTAGTAGTTTTGCAGACCTACAAAAGTACTAAGAGAACTCAAAGACCGCTCGAGTGAACCTGAAGAAAATAGACATGAATTCTTTTGAAAAACGAACTACCAACATGTTCACAACACAACTAACAACTCCAAATAACCAAATTTACAACAAGAAGACAAGGAGTATAGACAACAATAAAGAGTATCAAATCCCAGATTCAAGAACATGAAAGGGTCAAGTCTAATCCAAGTCGTTATATCGCCGGTGGCACCGTTCAATTTTTGACACTCATTGGCTGGGATGTGATTACATGAAAAGCTTTGGACAGAATATGGAATTTTGATTCTGTGAGTCTGATTTTGTATAAGAAACCACCAACTTTTAGATCACAAGAACTGCAAATTAGTGGTTAAAAGCAAGTTTCAATCAATACTCTACCACATTCAAGCTCCAATCGTGATGAAGTGCAAGCATTGATCTCAATGACTTGGCCCAAACACTTGCTATCTTATCAAAAGTACTATAATTCCAAGTGTGGAGTGGGATGCCTTCAACAGAAATCCAAACATGTCTTGATGCCCTAGGTCATGTCAAACCATGGTTCCAACCATTATGTCATGTCAAACCATGGTTCCAACCATTATGTCATGTCAAACCATGGTTCCAACCATTATGTCATGTCAAACCATGGTTCCAACCATTATGTCATGTCAAACCATGGTTCCAACCATTATGTCATGTCAAACCATGGTTCCAACCATTATGTCATGTCAAACCATGGTTCCAACCATTATTTGCCATTATTAATCCTTGCAAGTTTTTTTTTTTTTTTACCTTCAAAAGCATGTGTTTACCTACTAGATTTGCAGCTCTTTTAACCACCAGGATATGGTTCTTCCATCACACTCCATTGAAGGTTCTGATCGCTTCCTCTGCCTTAGCTTCCTATTGGAATCTCACAAAACTGCATTTGCTAGTGCTTGTTGATCATCTCTTGGCTGGAATAAGTACATCAACAATGTACCCGCTTCTACTTAAAACTCTTCTTAACCACTAGTTGTAGGTTTCTCCTGACAAGTTGTCAATGAAGATTAAGAAGCACATGGTGGTGGATCTAATCTAAGATCTCTGTTCCAACGCTATTTTGAGTGTGTTCGGGTAGGTCTCCTCCTCATACCACCTGATCACTATTTGATGGATCGGCATCGCCAGTGGTTTTGAGAATCAAATGGCGGAGAGTGGTGGTGATAAGGGTTTTTGAGAGGGTTGCAAATATTTGTGAGAATGTGTCTTTACACACTTCATCTCTTGATGCTAATAAAGAAACATATATGGTGAGTTGTTAAAAGTGATGGTCGATGATGGAGAGTGAACGAATGTGGTGGCTGACAATGGAGATGGCTAGAGTGCTGATAGAGGTCACAAGGCGGCCAGGGGTTCCCAAAGGTCACGAACGGTGGCTGATAGATAGTGGCAACATTAATGAGTAGTGGCCAAAGGTTGTGGACAGAAAGGAGAAAGAGTGAAAAGTTTTTTGAAGACAAGTGAAAATACTATTTCTTTCTCATTTTTAATTTTTAATTTTTATTTTAAAATCAATTTTACTTTTTTAGAAACAAAAAAAAAAAATTACTAAATAAGTTTTGTTTGTAATTTTCAAAAAATGAAAACAAAAAGAAAAAAACTTAGCAGAAACAAGGTTTAAAGAGCTCTATAAAGAGGGTCAAAGAATCCAACCTTCCATCAGTTTTCATTTTTCAGTATCTCATATTTTCAAACACAAACTTCATTCAGCCATAAGCCCAAGTTTGGCAGTTACCATAACAAAACAATGGCCAGAAGACTCAGTTCAGCCATTATGGTGACACTAGTAGCTGCCCTTCTACAAACCACAGTGGCACAGAAAGTACATGTCGTGGGTGACACCTTAGGGTGGCTCGTCCCTCCTGATGGTCCGATTGCTTACGCTGCCTGGGCCGCCATGCAAACATTCAGCCCCGGTGACATCCTCGGTAATAAATATTTGTAGCTAAAAATTTTAGTTTTTGAATTATTCTCAAAGTATGAATGGAATATACACAACGGCATAGTATGTTCTCAAAACAATGATGATGTTTTTACCGTACTCCTTTTTTATTGATATTTTTTGTGTATTCTTGTACTATTTTTTCATCAATAAATTTTTCTTTGTCGATACAAAAGAAAGCGGAGCTACACTAAGGCAAGTCGGGGCAATGAAATTATATAAAATATATATATTATTTTGCCTATGGTTTTATTGTTTTGTTCCATTTTCCACAATATATTTCTAGAAAATATTATTTAACCCATGATTTATTATTTTATTTTTTTTGAATTTCCCCTCAGAGATTTATTTTTACATATTGAATTTTTTGAGACTCATTTTATTTCCTCTTATATTTCTATGTTGTTGATACACAAAGGTTTTGGTTAGTGTAATTTATTAGTAATATGAAAAAAAATTGTGCATCATCGATTTTAAGGTAAGTTTTGCTCCACAAAAAAATAAACACCAACTCCGCCGCTGTATATATATGTGAATGAATAGTAGAGCTAGCTTAATTTATTTTCAACGTTTTTCAGTGTTCAATTTCACAACTGGGCAGCAAGATGTAGCTAGGGTTAGCAAGGAAGCATTCGATACGTGCAATTCGACAAACCCTATTTTGCTTGAAACAAATGGTCCTGTGAATTTTACCCTAAGTTCAGGTGGTGAGTACTATTTCATAGGCACCATGGAGATGCACTGTCCCTTGGGACAAAAGCTAGCCATGTATGTTCCACCACCAGCACCACCTAGAGCACCAATGACATATGAGGTTGGGGATGGTTTGGGGTGGCTTGTGCCTCCTGGTGGTGCAATTGCTTATGCTACATGGGCTTTCAACAAAACCTTCATTGTTGGAGACACTCTAGGTATTAAATTTGAATCTCTCTCTCTCTCTCTCTCTCTCTCGCTCTCTTTGTCTGTGTACTTGTGCTAACTTGAATAATTGGAAAGTGTGTTCTTTAAAATTAATACTAACGCTCTGTTTAGTTATGGGATTTGAAAAAAGATTTAGGAATGCGAATAAAATATACTTACATTTCACTTAGTTTCACACATATTTTCTTTCCAAATATCTCCTAAAACCAAACACAGTGAAAGAAAATGCAAGATGAATCAAATTATATGCATGTAGAAAAAATGTCCAGTGTACCAAATTTGTTCAATTTCATACTCATTAACTAAGGTGATAATAGTATTAAGAAATTGTCCATACCCATACGATTCAGTAGCATCCGGTTGATAATAGCATTACTATTCTGTTCTTAAGGTCTTGAGATCGACTCCCCAAAATTTGATGACGTTGTGGTTGTTGTGTATGTTGTATACTTATAACTAATTGGTAACATGCTGTTAAATTTTCTGAAATAGTTTCGATTTGATATAACTCCTTGATTTAAATTTTGAGGTAATGTTAGGAATATCAAAATTTCTACCAAATAAATGATCAAATGTCTCACATGGGTGTAGGATCCGCAATTTTGTAGACCCCACATCCATGTAAGATATTTAGTCATTTATTTTGTAGAAAATTTAGAATTTACAACATTTTCCATTAAATTGTCTCCCATCCATTGACAAAGAATAGTACTTTGAAATTAATAGAGTAAGAGAAACTTCTTGTGAAATTGACAGGTCTGGTCATTTTTTTTTGCATTTATTAACAATGTAGACATATAATCGGAAGGTTAGAATAGCAATACATTCAAAGAATTTTTATTTTTTTAAAAAAAATAAAATAAAGGAAAACTGTTTTTCGGTACAAAAAATATGAATTGCTATTGTGCATTTTTTGTTTATAAAAAATATTAAATATGTTTGGAGAACTTATGTGTATATCTTAATATGTGGACTTATTGTTCAATAGGTCCTATGATAATTAATGGTATTTTTCATCAAACACTATTAAAAAATATCACTAATTGTTAATTTTCAGTAATAGTTTGAAAACTTTGTCAAAAAAAATATCACTAAATTTTAGCGACTCTTTAAAAAAAATTGGTACAAAAAGTCGCTAATTTTTAACTTTTAGCGACGGTTTTGTTCTTAAGGTCTTGAGATCGACTCCCCAAAATTTGATGACGTTGTGGTTGTTGTGTATGTTGTATACTTATAACTAATTGGTAACATGCTGTTAAATTTTCTGAAATAGTTTCGATTTGATATAACTCCTTGATTTAAATTTTGAGGTAATGTTAGGAATATCAAAATTTCTACCAAATAAATGATCAAATGTCTCACATGGGTGTAGGATCCGCAATTTTGTAGACCCCACATCCATGTAAGATATTTAGTCATTTATTTTGTAGAAAATTTAGAATTTACAACATTTTCCATTAAATTGTCTCCCATCCATTGACAAAGAATAGTACTTTGAAATTAATAGAGTAAGAGAAACTTCTTGTGAAATTGACAGGTCTGGTCATTTTTTTTTGCATTTATTAACAATGTAGACATATAATCGGAAGGTTAGAATAGCAATGCATTCAAAGAATTTTTATTTTTTAAAAAAAAAAAAATAAAGGAAAACTGTTTTTCGGTACAAAAAATATGAATTGCTATTGTGCATTTTTTGTTTATAAAAAATATTAAATATGTTTGGAGAACTTATGTGTATATCTTAATATGTGAACTTATTGTTTAATAGGTCCTATGATAATTAATGATATTTTTCATCAAACACTATTAAAAAACAACGCTAATTATTAATTTTTAGTAATAGTTTGAAAACTTTGTCAAAAAAAAATATCACTAAATTTTAGCGACTCTTTAAAAAAAATTGGTACAAAAAGTCGCTAATTTTTAACTTTTAGCGACGATTTAAAAAATTCATCACTGAAAACGTCACTAATTATAAGTTTTGCCGACAAGTTATAAAAATCGTGACAAAAAAGTCACTAATGGTCAACTTTTAGCAACATGTGCAAAAAATTATCACAAAAAATTATTTTTAGTGATGACTTTACTAGGACGTATTTTCAATAGGACTTTATGAGAATTAAATCCAACTATTAAAACCTATTAGTAGTTTACCCTCTTTATGTTTATTTTTTGTAAAAAAAAAAAAAAGAAGTTATGTGATTTAAAAACTTATTTTGAAAACAAATGAGATGGATGCCAAGGAAAGTGGTGGCGACCAAAGGTGGTTGGTGACGGTCAGATATTGTGGCTACACTACAAGAAAATCCAGCTTTGGCGACTAAAAAATGAATTTTCGTCGCTGAAAGTAGGACAATCGGCGACTAAAATGGAATTAGTCGCCAAAAGTGTTCACTTTTGGCGACTAAGACAATTTAGTAGCCAAATGCATAGTTATTGGCGACTAAAATCAATTTCGTAGCCAAAAGTAAGGGTTTTGGCGACTAAAATTCAGTTTAGTCGCCAAAAGTGCAGATTTTTTGCTACTAAGAAAAATTAGTAGCTAAAAGGAGGGGTTTTGCCGACTAAACCAGACTTTAGTCGCCAAAAGTGCTGTTTTTGGCTACTAACAGGTTTTTAGTCGCCAAAGGCATTGCCGACCATGGATTCGCGACAACAGTGGCGACTAAAAGTTTTTGTCGGGGAAAGTAAAAATTCGACCTTTGGCGACTAAAAAAGGACCTTTGGCGACTAAAAATTTAGTCGCCAAAGGTGTATTTTGTTGTAGTGCTAGTGGTGGTTGTCAGCACAGGAGGTGGTTTTTGGGAGCAGGTGGTGACCGAAAGTTATTGCCAAAGGTCATTTCAAGCAAGGGATGGTGACCAAAGGTAGTTGTTGACGGTGGAAGGTTGTTGCCAATAGCAAGAGGTGGTTGTCGAAGGACGTCACCGGTGATGGTGGGTGAATGTGGGAGTGATTGCATGTCATGGCTGGTAGTGGTGATGAGCTGTGGGTGGTGGCCAGAAAGAATGGAAAAATAAGGACAGGATGAACTTTTGAAATTAATTTTTTTACAAATTTTATAAAACGAATTGTATATAATTTTCAAAACTTTAATAAGAATAAATAAAAAAAACTATAAATATAAACATTACCGGGTTTCAAATTGCTTTTGTTTGATTAAAAATCAACTGTAAAGGTTTGTCCTAATGGTGAGGTTTCTTAATAAGGTCTATAAGTCTAGTATAATTTGTGTATTTTCATGGTTATGCAGTTTTCAACTTTGTCAATGGAACACAAGATGTGGCAGTGGTAACAAAGGCAGCATATGAGTCTTGTGACACCACCACCACCACCAGGACTGTCTTAACCACCACTCCAGCAAAGATCACCCTCTCGAACCCAGGCGAGCATTACTTCACCAGCACATACCCACTACACTGCAATTGGGGTCAACAGCTTGCCATCAATGTGATCGCCTCTAGCACCGCCATGTCCCCTTCCACATCTGCCGCTTCTCCACCAAGCACCACCACCAAGTCCTCATCCGTGTTTGCCCCTGCAGCTGGTGGACCCATTCCTCCTCCCACCAGCTCAGCCCCATCTCACATTGTGATCGGATTCTTTTATGTAACATTCTTGTCCTCTGCCACAACTTTTCTTCTTTGATTTCATACTAGTTGGGTGTCATTTTGATGTAATTTCACTCTTGATCATTCTGTGTAGTCAGATTATACTTATAATATTCAATTCTACTTGTGAGTTATTTTAGAAATAAAAACCAGTTTATTTAAGGAATGCTGATTGAATATTATTGAAGTGATTGATAATGTCAAGTTTAAAATCAATTTAGTGAGTAGAAGAGATGATCCAAAACAATAACAGACATAAAAGAAATATGATTTAAATTGAAAAAAAATACAGCCCAAGCAAGGGTGGAGCATGCATAGAGTTGCAAAGTCAATAACTCAATATTAAGATCCCAAATAGCATCACATGTTGTGCTATATAGAAGGTATTGAGTGCATGGCCTTAATTATCTTGGACCAGATAATTGCACTGCCAAAAACTTTGCATCACTATGGCAATATGATGGTGCAGGTAACCTTCTCTCCTCTCTGACTGGTCTAACAAAATTTGCAAGAAAGTGGAAACCAGCTTCAGAGGAGCTCGGAGGCTCCGGTACAGAGCAGGAACCTTCAAGCATTTGAACAATTCTACCCATGGATGGTCTTCAGTGCATGTCCCTCTGTATACACCACAAAGAAACTTTGATTACGTTTTCTACCCTCTTGTTGTCTTCATCAATCTCAAGCTTTGAATCGATTATTTCTTGCAGCTTTCTTTCTTCCATCATCTTGAGGGCATAAGACGGAAAATGAGCTTTCTCTGAACACTCTGCAGGGTTGAAGTTCCGTCTTCCCCCAACAATTTCAAGCAAAACCATGCCAAAGCTATATACATCAATCTTCTCTGACAAAGCATTGGTTGTGACCCATTCAGGTGCCAAGTACCCCCTTGTGCCTCTTAGTCGGGTGACAACTTGACTCTGTTCCTTTGTCATCAACTTGGCCAAGCCAAAATCTGATACCTTAGCTTGGTAATTGTCATCAAGAAGCACATTTTCAGGTTTTATATCACAGTGGATGATCTTCATATGGCAGTTCTCATGGAGATAAGCCAATCCTCTCGCCACACCTATTATTATACTAAATCGGGTTTCCCAATCCAAGGTTAATCCTTCTCCATTGGTCCTGAAGATCCATTTATCCAAAGACCCATTTTCCATGTACTCATAAGCCATAAGGCGATTAGTGCCCTCTATACAAAAGCCCTTGAGCTTGACCAAATGGAGATGGTGGATGCTGCCAATAGTGAAACTTCAGTTCGAAATTTCTCTCTTTCCCGATTAGTGCCCTCCAATTACGGCAATTTGAGTTCCATCTGGAAGCATCCCTTTGTAAACTGAACCGAAACCACCCTGACCGAGTTTCACAGAGAAGTTGTTTGTAGCGGTCTGAAGATCTTTGTAGCTATACCGATTGGGGTTGCGAGATAAGATCTCTAAGAAATTTTCTACTTGAATGTCATCATCTTGGCAAGAAAAATTATCCTTTCCCATGACATCTTCGAAAAATTGTAGCATTCTTTTGTTTCTTTGGTGGAACCAATATCCCAAAAAAAGTAGACAACTAGCAAGTAAGAAGATTGTAGTAGCTATCATAACAATCCGCAAGTGGTTCCGACTATTGCTTTCTTTCTTGGCAGGGTTTAGCCTTTGGCCTGCATCACTAGGTAATTTGATGTAAGAAACAAACTTGGAAGTGCCATTGCGTAATTGAAAGCTTCCTATTTCATCAAACAAAAAGCAATTACCGGAATTGTTCTCAAAAAATAACATGAGACATGAGCAGTTACTAACACATGCATCCCTGCAACCTTTCAAATCACAATTGGCATAGGGTGAAACAAACTCAAGAGCAAAGTAGTCAAGTTTATCCCCCATATTTAACAACTGTATAGAACTCTTTGAGCCATCACATGGAGAGCCAATCCAATGGTTGCAACTTGGAGGGTTGCTAAGCTCCAGAGGACAGTAGCATTTTTTTTTAGTCAGAAACTCACAATGGTAGTAGGGATCACATGGTTCAGGCGTGCTACACTCATTTTGTGGAATCTTCATTGTTACTGCATTAGACTGGTCACCATTATGAAGACTGTAGAATGAAATAAACCCATCATCTCCTAAAACTGCTGCCCAAGTAACATCAAAACTAAAATCATCAGACAATATAAATTCCCAAATTAGATTCTGATTGTGATCAAAGAAGCTCCATGAATTGGAAATTAGAGAAGCAGAAGTGACTGGTCCATCTTCTTTAGTTATAACTTTCCGGTACTCATTTGCCATAGACCAATAGGGTTGAGGAGTTTGGAATCCTCCATAGAGAATTGCATCACCTGATTTCATTTCAAGGTAGCAACTCAAGTTATTGGAATTGGGCTCACTTACTAGTCGCATTCCTTCAAAGAAAAGTTGATTTGACAAAAGGGTGTCTGTGGGATAGCTAAAACTCTGCCAAAGAACTCTGGAGTCATTTCCGAGCAAAACCAAATTGCCCGAGTCCTGCAGCTTGATGGAAGTAACTCCTTTTCCTGCAGTATGAGGAGACCAGGCTATACCACCTTCTTTCTCCAGATATACATTCCCAGTTTTGTCAAAAACAAATTTATCATAATCTCTTACCCCGAAGCCTCTGTTGGCTGTCCAGACGACAATTGCACTATGAACGTGAATTATAGACAAAGAGAACAATGCCAACTCCTCCTTTGTACTTGAAAATCCAAAAGAAAAATTTGAGTTGTTCGAGAGCAAAAACATTCCACCATAATCAAGCCAATTAATTTGAGACCCTTCGAACACTGAATAAATACTGCCAATTACTGGAATATTTGCAACAGATTTTTCAGCTAGGAGGACAATTGACAAACAAATGGACATCATAAATGGAAAGAAGCCTCGCAACACCATGGGCACACAAAACCTGGATTAATCCACCTGCATAAGAGAACAATTTCCTTAATTAACTGAAATAACTGGAACGAAGGGAAAATTATTCAGTCATGAAGCAATGCATCATCTTTGGTTCCACTTAAGCATTAAATATGGGCCCATTTCCAAGCCAACATATATTATTATAAAGTGTAGGGCACCCGAACCCATCTCATGCTCACCCTGCTCCACACCGTTCATTTAAAACTAGAGATCTATAACCCTAATTCATCCGCTTTCATGTTGTATACTCTTCTTAGGACTAACCAAAGCCCAAAACTTTAGTGAATACAATTTAGTGGTGGTGGTGGATGTTGAGTTTGACACAATAGTGGACCCAAAAAATACAACCTTTACCTCTATTGATAACACTCAAGTACACTTGTACGACCACACATTAATACACATGGCTTATTCACTCACATAATACATTCAAGCATTAAAACTAGAGATCTCTAACCCAAATGCATCTGCTTTCATGCTGTATACTCTTCTTAGGACTAACCAAAGCCGAAAACTTTAGTGAATACAATTTGGTGGTGGTGGTGGATGTTGAGTTTGACACAATAGTGGACCCAAAAAATACAACCTTTACCTTTATTGATAACATTCAAGTACACTTGTACAACCAGACATTAATACACATCACTTATTGACTCACATAATACATTCAAGCACTCACACAGTGTCTTCCTCACACAAGACCTTAAAATACTTCACGCTAGATCACCCTTGTAGTGATTGACCACTCCATCACTCAATTACTCAATACATGTGCTCATCTCATATTTATACTAGTGAAGAACTTTTTAGAATACTCTCATACTTCCACTATACTCTAGAGTTATCTAAACTACTCTAGTACATAATAGAGTTTTCTTTACTTCTCTAAAATATTCTAGAACCTTCCGGAACTTTCTATATTTCTCCAAACTTCTCCAATGTTCCGGAACCTTCTAAGATGTTCTAGAATCTTCTGGATTTCTCTTTCCAGAGTCTTCTAGATTCATGTGGAAACTTCTAGAATATTCTAGAGAGTAAGAAGAGTTAGTGATGACTCTCAACAATGGAGTGAGGTGTGGGTGTGTACTTGTAAGAAAACAATGGGTTTAATGATTGTTTTCACTATATCCTTCATGCTTGTTTTGATTTTGAATTTTGGATTTGTTGAGTGATTCGCTGAGGAAAAAGAAAAGAGTAGTAAAATGAGAACCTGATGGCTTGGCTAGCTCAAATCTATGCCATGCTAGAGTAATCTTTCACGCAATATGCATCAGAACTAAGAAAGAAAAAAAAATTGTCTTCTATTGCATTCCATTTCTTTTATATTGACAAATCAAAGTTCCAAACACAACTTAAAAGAAATGCTCATTTGAGTTTGTAAACATATTGTGACAATTTACCTTTCAAAATTCACTGCAGCCTTTTCACAAATTCGCAATAATAATTTGAAAACAACTTTTGATTTTCTCAAAATTAAACTTCTTATAATTACCACATGAAAAGAAAAAAAAAATGCCAAGAACAAGGACAAATATTGGATTCTAACTTTGGGGGCAAAAACTCCTTCCTAATCGAAAAAAATTACCATAAAAGTTTAAATATAGATTAATACCAGCAGAAAAAAGTGAATAATATTACTATTAACTAGATATTCTTTGTCAACATAGTTGAGCAAAAAAAATATGTCTGAACATATTTTTTTTTTCTGGCATTAAATTACAAAGAAAGTAGTAACTATTATAATATGTATCCATCCACTGAACTTCACCATCTGTTTGTACCCATTATAGCAAACTTCCACGTGGCAAAGGATGGGTGACGTGGTAGAAACGTGGCATGACAGTAATGCCACAGGAATGATGAGTGGAAGGACTGAGGTGGCAAGGATTAAGTCCATTTATTTAATAAAATTTAATAAATAAAGGAAGATATTTTAGTTTTGCCTCAACCATTCTTAGAAAATCGGGGGTGGTTGAGCCCCACATTTTACAAATATGTTGGGAGTTATGTCATGATCCTAATTATTTGCACATGTGGAGAATAAAAAGGGATTTAGTGAACCACTTGTCGACCAAATGATAACAAACGTTCATAACTAGCCGCTAGTGGGGAAGTGGTTGCAAAATTTGGGCTCCAAACAAGGAACCATAGGACACTTTCCTAGTAGTTGAAGCAGAAACAAGAGACAGTTTTCTAGTCGTTTTTTAACTATAAAAGGACTTCATGGCCAACATTTGAAGGGTCCAACAACAAACAACTCAAAACTAGCTCTTACACACTGAATTTCCATATATTTCCAGCAATTGCTAGCAAATCAATTAGCAATCTTTTCCTAAGTATTTTTCATTTTACTTCAATTGTACTTCATTTCCAGTCAATGCAAGTTCAATTTCTTTTCAATTTAGCAACCATCCATTGAGTCTTTGTTTATTTTCCACACTTTAGCAAAATCAGGAAATTCATCTTCATTGACGCAAGATCCAAACCTATGACCCATCCTCTTGGCCACACACAGTCTAAATTCTTTAGTTATGAGTCAAAAATCCACATCTTGGACTACGTTCACAAGTCCTGCATGCCCGCAATCATCACACATCACTGCCTACATGTTCACTCTCTTTCTAGGTGCAATCACCACCTGAAAATGTTATGCTCAATAGATTTTATAATATAGAAACCATCTATGACAGGCTCGACATCAAAATTTCAATTAATATCTTTCTCAATAAATGTGATCAAGTAACTTCCTAGAAAATCATCTACCATGTTATTATGCACGCTTTAGTCTTGACAAATTCTGTAGTTGATAATGTAGGTTCCTATACATATAGTTGAAATGTGTAAAATTAACACAACACAAATTAATCTATGAATAAGATGATAATCATTTCAATACATAATTTCAAATTTTATAAACACAACACAAATTAATCTATGAATAAGATGATAATCATTTCAATACATAATTTCAAATTTTATAAACTCATTTTTCAAAATGTCACATCAAACATAGACAATATTCTTGTTCTCAGATAATGGCCAAACAAAAATGAATGTCAAAAAAAAAAAAAAGAAATGAAAAAAAAAAACAAAAAAAAAAAAAAAAGGCTTGAGCAAATTAATGTGTGATTTATAAATAAATAAAAACACTAAGTGACACATGGACACAAAATAGAAGGGAAATGCTACAATGTGCAAGTGCACATTATAAGAAAAGTTAAAATTTTTGTTATGAAAGTTACGAATTTTTGTGATGGAAGTTATGAATTTTTGTGATGCACATTATGAATGGTGATGTTATGGTATGTACCCCTAAAGTTATGTATACCCAAAATTATGGTTTTTATGGTAAAAGTAATACTTTTGTGAAAAGCCAAAATTTCTATTTTTTGTAATGAGAAAAATTATACTTTTTGTGATGAAAGTCATACATTTTGTGATAAAAGTTATACTTTCTGTATAAGGTGCATACCAAATGCACCCTTTTTGGGGTGCACATGGTAACCATTCCCATAATTAATTTGGGGATGCGAATATAATTTTGAGAGTGAAAATTACTCTAATTTAGCAAATAGAAGGGATCCGTATTTAATAAAACCCAACTTGAAAACTATGTTTAAAGTTTTGTTTTATAATTAATTTGGGGATTCGCATATAATTTTGAAAGTGCAAACTACTCTAATTTCATATTTATCTTACTAATTACTAGTATAATATAAGGAGTGACCGCCCCTGCACTACACCCTTTGGATGCATCCTTTGCCAAGAATGTAAAATGTTGTATACCAATGAAGCCTTAAGATAAAAGTTTTGAAAGGAGATAATTTCTTCCTAATTAAAGCTCCTATAAAAACCTAAGGAAAAAAAAAAGGTTAATTACACCCTTTTTTTTTTCTAGAGGATTTTGACTATTATGGAGACCTCTTGTGATGTTTTTGATATTTCATTCCTTTCATACTTTATTTTTCGTGAAAATCTATACAAACCTCCCTTCATTAATTAAGCATTATAACATAAACAAAAAAATGTGAGAGTTTTTATTTCCACACATAAAAAAACTCTCAGCATACATCTTTTCTCAATACACACACTAAATGGCTTTAAAATCTAATATTTTGCTTAGTACACAACCTACCATGTCAAAAATACCCTCACCTTCTTCAATATTCAAACTTTGACCGTAACCCTAACCTTACCATTAACCACCGTTAGCCAACCACCTGCCACCACCACTAGCCTCCTCCTCCAACTAGCCTAACCTCTCCCCCACCCTCCCTTGCCACTGTCACCCCCTTACTCACCTTTCCCTAACCACCCTAGCCCCTTTTATACTATCCATGACCACCCCAGAAATTCCAAAAACCACCAGCCATCGTTCCCCAACTCTCTCTTCTACCCCTACCAACCTTTCAACTCTTCCCTCCACTGCCGCCTTCCACCCCAATCTCTCTCTCTCTAGATCATCGTCATATCAACTACCATTAGAATGCCAAATCTCTTCAATGGTAGTTCTCTGAATAAACACTTTTGGTTCGATGGTTGAAATCCAAACGGCGATGATTGTTCCAACACTGGTAGTCGAACGGTGAAAGTGTTCATGGAAAGGGTTTACAATAGTGCGGGGGTTCCCTGATGGGAACTTCATGGCAATAGTGGTTCATGAGGGGGTTTGCAATAGTGTAGGGGTTTGCAATAGGCGGTTCACAACGGTGTGGATTCGCAAAAAAGGGTTCACAGTGGTGGTGGGGTTCATGATGGTGGCAATGGCAATGATAATGGTGGTGGTTGCTGGTGGGGTTGTGTATTGAGAAATTGCATTTTAAAAAATGATAATTTGATTAAAGGATAAGATCATAATCTAAAAAATACATTGTGCGCGAACTTAGATTTTTGGTGTACGAAAATATAAACTCAAAAAAAAAAGAAAAAAAAAATGTGTTGCTATTTGCCCCAACTTTCTTCTTTGGACCTGTAACCCTTTTATTTTTATTGTTTTCTATGACAATTTTACCTCAACATACAATTCACATTTTCTCCCCATCCTTAGCCTTAAGTTCACCACCATCCTCCCTCCTCTTTCACTGGCTCCATCTGACACCTTCCCCACGCATCCTTTACCTCCACCAACACTTCCTACACTTGCCAGCCTCTCTGTAGCCCATCCTTGCCACCATTGTCCATCCCCTAGCCTCCCTCGGCCCCACATCCTCGCAATAGAGAGAGAGAGAAAGAGAGAGAGTTATAAAGAAAAAGAAGAAGAAGAATAAGAAGGGGGTGGGGGGTCATGGTGGTTCACAGGAAAGGGAAGGATGGGGCACCTTGAGGGTGAGGGTGAGGCAATTGGGAGTCTATTGCGAGGGTGCGAGAAACAGGTTGCCAACGGGGGTTGCAGGAGGGAGGGGGGTCACCAAAGGGGCGACAACAGTGCTAGAATTGAAGGCCTAGGGTTTTTGATTTAGGAAATGATGGTAGAATTGGGATAAGGTGGGGCTCTAATAAAATAAAATCAAAAATCAAAAATTAAAATTTGGAGGTGGGAGATCTGAAGTAGGGAGCAAATAGCAGCAGTCTTCCAAAAATATGATCATCTTAACATTTGTAAAATGCTAAATTTACCATTGATTGGGATAACTGAATTATTATTATTATTTCTTTTAAAAACATTAAAGAAAATTTTAAAATATAAAAGAAAATCCTCCCCATGTGTTCTCTCTCTCCCTCTCTGTTCTACTCTTTTAGTCTGAGGTGGTTTTCTTTTCTGGGACTATTTAGAGAGAGTACAATTTGTTTAACCCGTTGAACACAATTTTAGCCTAAGCAAATCTTCAAACAGTTGATGGGCATGGAAGAATCACCACTCTTCCACCCCTTCGGCATTACGACCTCAGTTGGCCGTGAAAATTCCATCACCATCACCCCCCAATCACCACAGTCCCACCGCCACCGCCACCCATCACCATTAAACACCACCACCACAACACCTTTCAAACCATAGTTTGCGTGTATATATTATGTATATGTATAATAATTTGTGTGTAAAGGTATCAAATGACCACAAATAGATAATAAATTGGATTCAAAACACATGATATCTAATCAGTAATATTTATAGTCATCAATGGTCACGTTTAACTGTATAAGCGACTGATCACATATAAATAACAATATAATATTGCAATATGAAATTGAAATTGAAATGGCCATGACTACTACTACCCACAATTAAACATGTATGCAATCCAAATGATACTAATTAGCAAACCATCATTTCAAAACATAGAATTTGAAGAACAATTCATAAGAAATCAACAGTGTTTTGATTGATATTGAGTAGTGTTGAAAGCTCACATGTAAATCAACTGGATGTAATTGCTTCAGCTCTCACAGTAGAAGCAGTTGCAATGTAGGACTTCTCTTTTGGAGTTTCAGAAGCAGAGATCGAATTGGGTTTTCTTCTCTTGTGGTGGGTTTTGCTTAAATCGGTTGTTGAATACTTAGAATAGTTTATGATGTTAAAAATTTTCAAACAAATATTCCAAATTTCAAAGTTTTTGACATTTTGGGTTGTCCATGTGCGTGGATTGAAAAAGGCAGCAATCGAAAAAGTAGACCCGTTCGGTGATACATTACTTTAACTTAAAAATCAAAAAAAAATCATTATAAATTATTGGGTAAATCATAAAAGCAGTGGTTTCTTTCTAATCTGGAATTAGACTGGAGTTTCGTGGATGAGCTCGTTAAATATTTCATTTCTATAAAATCTCACAATGAGCCGAACTTGACCGTGTAGTGCGCTAGTCCAATTGTAGAGAGTCCATGTCCAATTACAAATACATTTGGGTATGTTTGATTGAGAGGGTTAAAATACGGGGTCGCGGTCTCAATAATCCCGCATTTGTTTTGAAATTTTGTTTTAGGATTGTTAATTTAATTGATAATTAATTTAATAAATTTGTAGGATTATTAATAATGGGATAGCGGTAGGATTATATATCCTGAGTTGGGAAATAAAATAAAAGGACTCTTTTACCAATTAATCCAATGCAAATCAAACAATGGACAATATGATAACTTATCCTACTAATCCAATTAGATAGTGAATATCACACTAATTTGATGGGATTATTAATATCTTAACTATTAGTCTTGTAAATCAAACATGGCATTTGGATAATTCTATTTACACACCATTATTCCTCTTAGTACACACTATTACTTATTACACATACAAAATAATTTTTATAATTTAAAAATATATTAGTTCACATCTTAACTTTCCATTATGGTAACACACTACTTGTTTGTTTCAATAACACCACTACACATACCTAAAACTCTTCATCTTCACCACAACAACCAAAAATTCTCCATCTTCAAAACAGAGATCATCTTCGTCGGTGTTGATCTCTATCGTTGGTGTTGAACTCCATCGCCGGCGGAGGGTTTCATTCAGCCTCTATCTTCATCAGTGTTGATCTCCATTGTCAATGTTAAACTCTCATGTTGTTTCGTCTCATTGTCTCATCGTTTCAGATCGCTAACGGAGAGTTTCATTTGGCCTTCATCTTCGCCGATGTTGATCTTTATCGTCTTTATTGAACTCTCATCTTTAGATTGCCATTCTCACCCTTAATTCACTTGTGTAGTCACCAACATAATCAATTTCAAAATTGTTACATTGTGTGAGTATAGAATTCTGTATAAAAAAAAATAATAATAATAAAAAAATTAATAAAAAAAAGTTAAGTCATGTTCATGAAGACAAAGTTGAACAAACTTAATATGTTCAAAAATTTATAAGTGAACAAAGAATAAAAGTTTAATTTATTTTAACTGAACTAATTTAAAATGTTCAATTTTTTATGTATGAACATTTAATATTTGGTCAAGCTTAATAATTTGAACAAAATTATTTTGTTCAAATATAAATAAGAGTTAATTACCAAAAAGTCCTGTCTAAATATTTGGTGGTGGCTTAGGTCCTGTCAAAAAGTTTTTGAACCAATAAGTCCCATTTATAGGTAAAAAGACATTTTGCCCTTTAATCCCAAAACTGATAATGTTTTCAATTCTAAAACTGAGAATATTATCAATTTTCAAACAGAGAATGATTTCAGTATATAATTATCAAAATTAAAAAAATTTTGTTTGGCTTATGAGAAAAGTATAGGATTGAAAAGAAAGATAATTTTGCGAATATTTTAAGAAATTTATAATTAACAATTTTGAGAAATTTCTCAATTTTTTCATGATTAAAATTGAGAATATTATAAACTGAGAAGGTTCTCAATTTTAAAAAACTCTCTCTCTCTCTCTCTCTCTCTCTCTGTCTCTCTCTGCAATCTGTCTCAATCTCCTAATTGGTTCTCTCGTCTCACCAGTCTCTGCTGCCTCAAGTTTCTCTCCATTAACCCTATTGATAGAAGGCGAAAGTGTATGTGACGACCCATAATTTTTTCCTCCGCTCGAGTGGAGGAGTTGACGCTCGAGCGGACTTTTGGGGTTCCCAGCAATTTTGCAGACGGCCTGAGATTCTGGGAGTTGTGAATCTCTGCTCAAGCAGAGGAGTTGACGCTCGAGCGGCCGTCTTTGTTGGTCTTTGCGCTCGAGCGAGCGACGCTCGAGCGTGAAAAGTAAGATTACCCTTGACATTGTAGTAGTGTATTTGGAACCTTCCTATTTTATTTTGGAGTATTGATTGAGATGGTAATTTGATGGCAAAGTAAGATTGGACCAAAAACTTTAATTCGAACAATTCGTTTACGTTCAGCAGTCACTCTTTTGCCTTTTTATTTTTCCACACTTCGAATTTGGATATGAGGTTAGAACCATTGGAAAGCTTATTTCTGGGGCTTCAATTTACACACAAGAATGACCTAAAACGAAGTCCGGATGAGAGAGTTATGCATGTTTGAAGTTTTGGAATCTGTGTTGGGAGCAGATACGCTCGAGCGGGAAGAGGGACGCTCCAGCAGGTTTTGCGAGTACAGCAACTTAAAAACGGGATTTTAGATTTTTTTCTCACATTTTTCTTTTCCCCTCTTCTTTCCTCTCATGCTTAGTTCGAAACCCCTAGCCCCAAAACCTTGATTTCCTCTACTTTGATCAACAATCCACCATGGTTTTTGCTTCAAGAATGGAGAATAAGAGAAGATCAATGTTTTTACCTGATTGGAACTCGGATTTGCGAAGGCTTCTTCTCAAGCTCACTCCTTTGCTTGATTATTGATGTAGGGGTTCTAGTTTTCTTCAATACTTACATCAAGAGATAGATTTGTAGTATTTTCATTGTATAAATGTACGGATTTTCATTTTGAGCATATAGTGTAATTATGAGATTTGGGAATTTCGGGTTTGAAGCATTGAGGGTTCAATTGATGGGTTAAGGTGATGGAGTATGACCCTTAGATGTATGATCAAGGAGAAAATTGGGATGTAAGGTAATGGTATGAGAAGTTTGAATTTTTATGGAAAACTTTATTTTTCTTGAAACCCTAGGTTAATTTGTGATGATAAATAATGATTTTGCCCAAATTGAAAATAGAATCATGGAATTGGTGGGTTGAATTATACGTGTACAAGTTTAATTGGATTTTTGAGATGTTTTGAGATAATGTTAAAAATTTGCGAATGAACTTTATTATGAGCATTGTGAATCATGTTAAAATGAGAAAGGAAATTAGGGGAAATGATTTAGAGAATTAATGTGTGATTTCACATGTGTGTAGGACACGCTTCGGGAGGAATAAATGTTCCACCAACACACTGTGAGTAATAGTACGAAGATGTACATTTTATTTACCATTGATAATTATTATCACTAACGCTCTGTTTCTTGTAAGTGTTACACGAACATGTTACACGAACATTTATTATGATTGAAAGTCAAGGTGAACGTTGAAAGATTGGCATACATCGGTATGACTTTGAAATGACTCTGTTCTATCAATAACGATTAATAATTCTCTATGATCTATAAGCAAACTACGTCATTTCTTAATGAATAAATGGAATTATGGTTATCTTTAAACCAAGTATCTGTATGAAACGGAGATTATTTCATTATGTTACATGTGGACCCGAGGTTGTTAAGAACCTATGACATGCATGAAAATGTTTAACATTATTATGTGACTCATGTTAGAATGTGGGTTATACTGCCCTTATTAAGCATATGGTAATGATATATGTGGGCTCAGTTAATAATTGTTATTATTATTATTATTATTCAGTTGTACGCGAGACACCTGTATTAATTTGTAACCAAGCCATGGGAAACTTATGTGCATTATTGCATAATGGAATTCTAAGGAAACTGAAATTACTTCTATTACTGTTTCGGTTATGCTATGCTATGACATGATATGATGATTCAGTCTATAAGACCTATGAAATTCTAGTATGGAGCAAAGTGCTGTACGGAACTAAGTACTGCGATGCGAGTTACCTCTAGAATCCGTACGAGCCACCTCTTGAGTCCATACATATGTGAACTGGACGTAAAGCCAATGTGAAAGTTATGAGGCCTATGGCCATTTTGTATGATTTGTTAGTATGAAACAAAGTCTTGTACGGAACTAAGCGCTGCAATACGAGTCACCTCTAGAATCCGTACGAGCCATCTCTTGAGTTCATACATGCATTACAAGGGCTTTATGCCAATACAAGGGCTTTATGCCATTACAAGGGCCTTATGCCAATACAAGGGCTTTATAGCGATCCCAGTTTCCCTTTTCATTGGTTGTTGTGTACATCTCGTTTACATCCTTTACTCTTTGTATTTGAGTCTTGGGTTGTGTTGAGCAGGTGTAAAACAGGTTGGTTGAACTTAGGAACCAAGTGTAGATGCCCAGATCTTGGTCTGTCCGCTCGAGCAGGGCTTTTGGCGCTCGAGCGGGAAAATCACCCTTCCAGTATTTTCTCTGCAAGGTTGTCCGCTCGAGCGGGAGTTTGGACGCTCGAACGGGAGTTTGTGTGTTACGCTCTAGTGGGGAGTTGGACGCTCGAGCAGAGGCCTGGTTCTGTAAAAGTACTGGGAGTGTGTATTCAGCACTCGAGCAGCAGTTTGGATGTTCGAGCGGGAGTCTGTGAGCGACGCTCGAGCGGAAGTTTCCGCGCTTGAGCGGGGAGTCGGGTTTAAAGCTCCGTGTTTTGACTTTTAAAATCACTTTTTCACATTCATTTCTCTCTCTTACTTTTCCAAAACTCCATTGTTGAGCCTCTCTCTCTAGAACCTTGCCTTCTCTCTAGGTATTGATCTAGTTAGAGTTGTTTTCTTACTTTTGGCCTTTACAAAAGTTGTGTTGATCGTCGAGGGCTACGTTTTGATCCGAAAATATCGAGTTTTGGAGCACGTTGAGTTTCTTCATCTTCATCCCTTGAACTCCGAATTTGAGGTAGGGATTCCTACTCACTCTTATGGTCTTTAACATAGATTTTTTGCCGATTTTGATAAAGTGTTGAAATTGGGAAATTTTGGGACTTAGGTTTTCAAAATGTCAAAGAGGGTTTTATTATTTTGATTCTAAAATGAGTATTTTGGGTTTCAAAATAGTGGTATTGATGTTGGTTGTTGATATATGGACCATTGGGTCAATATTGAAAAATGGGGGAAAAAGCCCTAATTCGTTGTGTAAATTAATTTGTATAATTAATTTGGGAAAGGTGTTGGTATTTGGAATTGAGTTGGAAATAATGAAATTGACTCATTATATGGTAGAATAGTGGAGTTGGATTTGTTAATCGCTCACTTTTGAAAACATGATATT